AGGAATCATGGCCTAGCCAAATTGATACACACATTTTTTGGGGGACATAATTCAAACCATGACACCAGTCTTTTATTTCTTTATATCGCCTTGACTTCCTCTCCATATGAGCAAGGCAGGGAGCCGACGGCTGCCCCAGGTGTCTGGGAAGAAAGCGTGTCCCTGATCCCTAGAGTACGTAGGTGGGTGAGTTTTGTAGCTGGTCTGTGGGCACTCATTGCTGTTGGCTGTAAGGACTGGGAAGCATCACTTATTCTTGGACCCCTGTCACAGGTGGCTAGGTGGTGTGTGTGGAGCCACCAGTCCTCAGGCCCCTGATGTGGGTAGGACCTTGCTTAATGGGCAGAGTGGTATCAAGTGTCGCGAACCTGCCGCTCCACCATACAGCTGATACAGTGAAGTTAGGCTTTAGGTATATACCCTGATATACTGTGCTAATGAGGGCCTACACGGATGAAATGGGCCCACACAGGTCTATGCAGGGGTGAAAGGCATTCAAAGTCCGTGGACCCATTATGCCTGTGCTTGGCATAGGAGCTGTGCCTGCCCTGAGTTCCTAGCTTAGTGGAGCTGGCAGATTATTTTTTCCTGTTTGTTAATTTGTTCCCTCTCATGGCCAGGAGAATGGCTCAGGGTGCATGACGGGTCCATCTTCTGGCCCAGGGGACGTGGTCCAGGGTATGTGGTAATTGCTGAAGCCAGGTCAGGACCCAGTGCAGAGCAGGGAGGGAGCAGGTAAATGGAAGAGAGGTTCTTTCCAAATAGGGTATTTTTTGATCCATGTGTCTTGGTCATCTAGTGCTGCTGTAACAGAACTACCACAAGTGGATGCCTTTAACAAAGAGCAGTTTATTCTCTCACAGTCCAGTAGGCTACAAGTCCAAATTCAGGGCATCAGCTCCAGGGAAACACTTCCTCTGTTGGCTCTGGAGGAAGGTCCATGTCATCAGTCTTCCCGCGGTCTGGGAGCTTCTCTGCGCAGGAACCTCAGGTCCAAAAGATGTGCTCTGCTCCCGGCACTGCTTACTTGGTGGTATGAGGTTCCCAACTCTCTGCTTGCTTCCTTTTCCTTTTATCTCTTGAGAGATTAAAGGTGGTGCAGGCCACGCCCCAGGGAAACTCCCTTTACATTGGATCAGGGATGTGACCTGGGTAAGATTGGTGTTACAATCCCACCGTAATCCTCTTCAATGTAAAATTACAATCACAGAATGGAGGACAACCACATAATACTGGGAATCATGTCCTAGCAAAATTGATACACACGTTTTTGGGGGGACATAATTTAACCCATGACACTGTGCAATGAGTTAAATGCCTACGCTTATCTTTTGCTGACTGAGTGCCACTTTTCACAGGCTCTGTAGGCCTGAGCTGACTCTCCGCCTCTTGGTCTCTCCTGATGTGGAAAACACGTCCCAACTGCCACTGCCTGCCTCACCAGGCATGCCAGCCAATCCTGCCTGCAGGGTACCAACTCCTGCCAGGTCAGGTCTGACAATCCCTCACTGCTTCTGAACCGCCTTTCCCTCCACTGTCACTTAGTCTGATTCCTCAACTTTGCCTTTTATGTTCAAGGCTCCTAGATTGTCATATATAATCGATTCACTTATATTTTTGGGTCTTTGTTGTAAGAGAGACCACAGGAAGCGTCTGGCTACTCTGCCATCTTGGCCCCACCCTCTCGGTCTTTGATTCATTTTGAGTTAGTTTTTGTGTATGGTGTGAAGCATGAATTCTGTTTCATTTTTCTGCAAATGGATATCCAGTTTTGCTAGCACCAATTGTTAAAAAGACTGTTTCTTCTGCATTGAATGGACTTTGACTCCTTGTCGAAAATCAGCTGCCCATAGATGGATGGATTTATTTCTGGGTTCTGAGTTCTGTTTCACTGGTGTATACGTCTGTTGTTGAACCAGTATCAGGCCATTTTGATTACTGTGGCTGTATAGTATGCTTTGAGATCAACAAGTGTGAGGCCTCCTACTTTGTTCTTCAATATTGCTTTGGCTTTTCAGGTCCTCTTTCCTTTCCATATAAAGTTGGTGAATACTTTTTCCATTTCAGTAAAGAAAGTTGTTGGAATTCAGATTGGGATCGCATTGTATCTATAGATTGCTTTGGATAGTATTGACATTTTCACAATGTTAAGCCTTCTGTCTTAGTTATCTAATGCTACTGTAACATAAATACCACAAGTGGATAGCTTTAATAAACAGAAGTTTATTCTCTCACAGTCTAGTAGGCTAGAAGTCCTCATTCAAGGTGCCAGCTCCAGGGGATGGCTTTCTCTCTCTGTCGACTCTGGAGGAAGGTCTTTATCATCAATCTTCCCCCAGCCTAGGAGCTTATCAGCACAGGAACCTTGGGTCCAGAGGACACACTTTGCTTTTGGTGTTGCTTTCTTGGTGGTATGCGGTCCCCCTATCTCTCTGCTCCCTTCTCTCTTTTATATCTCAAAAGAGATTGAGTCAAGGTACTATCTAGTCTTATAGATTGAGTCCTGCCACATTAACATAACTGTCTCTAATACTGCCTCATTAACATCATAGAGGTAGGATTTATAACAGATTGGAAAATCACATCAGATGAAAAAATGGTGGACAGTCACACAATACTGGGAATCTTGACCAAGCCAAGTTGACATACATTTTTGAGGGACACAGTTCAATCCATAACACCTTCCAATTCATGAGTACAGAATGTTCTTTATTTATGTAGGTCTCTTTTAGTTTCCTTCAGTAAGTTTTCATGGTGTAGGTCTTCTACATCCCTGGTTAGGTTTAGTCCTAGCTATTTTATCTTTTTGGGGCCTATTGTATATGGTATTGTTTTTTCTATGTCCTTTTCAGAGTTCTTGTTAGTGTAAAGGAACCCAACTGATTTTTGTGTGTTGATCTTGTACCCTGCCACTTTGCTGAATTCTTCTGTTAGATCCAGTAGCTTTCTTAGGGAAATCTGTAGGATTTTCTATGTGTAGGATCATGTCATCTGTGAATAGAGACAGTTTTACTTTTTTCTTTCCAAGTTAGATACCCTGTATTTCCTTTTCATGCCTTATTGCTCTCGCTAGGATTTCTAGTACAATGTTGGATAAGAGTGGTGATAATGGCCATCCTTGTCTTGTTCCTGTTCTCAAGGGGAAGAATCTCAGTCTTTCTCCATTGAGAATAATATTGGCTGTTGGTTTTGTGAAATACCTTTTAAGTATATGCTTACTTTGTTTTTTGCATAGTGTTTGTGGCTTTCATTCTATACCCTCTTGAGCAATTTTAAAATATTTTATTCTTTCAGTAGGGTGGTCTTCCCAGCTTACTAACTTGTTTCTAATTTATGTGTTTAATATTAGTAGCGTGGCAGTTTTCATGTCCATGCGACTCCTGAGATCTGTGATGTCAGTGGAGCTTCAGAAGAGAATTTATCAGCCACAATTGCACATCCATTAAACAAAGCTTAAGAACAGACAATCCTAATAGAGTTTTTATTTATGGATTCTTTACTGTAAGATTCCCCTAGGACAATGGTCAGTATTAATTAAAACATCCTGAAGTGTATAAACCACAACTACTTCTGTATGAGATGCAGTGGAGAGCTTTAAAGCATCACTTGAATACAAAAAGGATGTAGAAGACTCTAGCTCTCTGTTGCTTTTATGCAGATGCCACTTTAAAGCAAATAGTCTTTAGACTTACCAGGATTAACACAATTTATTGCTGTAGAGAACCAGTGCTTTATATTTGTGATTTGTTACACAAAAGGGGGAGAAAAAAAAGAGACTTCATTACATATGTTGTCAGTGCCATGTTATGAGGCATTAGTGGTTCAGTGGTAGAATTCTCACTTTCCATGAGGGAGACCCAGGTTCAATTCCTGGCCGACGTACCTCACGCACAGCCATCACCCGTCTGTCATTGGATGCTTGTGTGTTGCTGTGATACTGAACAGGCTTCAGTGGAGCTTCCAGACTAAGATGGACTAAGATAATCAACCAGTGAAAACCGAATGATCACAACAGTTTGATCCACAACTGATCTTAGGAATGACACAGTACCAATGGTGCATTACTGGGCAATGTTTTGTTGTGTGTGTGGGGCCACCATGAGTCAGGAGCTAACTCAACGGCAGCTAACAGCAACAAAGATATTATGCTGCCAGCACGTCTAGAAGAGGAGACTCTTGAACGAATTCTGAACTGATAGGAAGGTGTGCAAATTACAGGTTTGTCATATGTTGACCCTGCATATGCAATATAAGTGAAGACATTGTTTTAACTGGTGGAACTTTAAAATATTTCCTTCTAGATTGGACATCGAGGCACCATTAGAGATTATTCAGGCTTTAGCCCATCGGTGGATGCTGAAGCCATTCACAAGGCAATCAGAGGAATTGGTGAGTTGTACTTTACAATTCAGCCACCTGGGTGGCGCAAATGGTTGAGCGCTCCACTACTAGCCAAAAGGTTGGTGGTTTGAACCCACCCAGAGGCAGCTCAGAAGACAGACCTGGCAATCTGCTTCTGAAAGGTCATAACCTTGAAAACCCTATGCAGCAATTTTACTCTGCACACATGGGATCGTCATGAGTCAGAATCAACTTGACAGCATCTGACGACCACTTCACAATTCATTGCTTAATGTTGAAGCAAATCTAGAAAGGTGCAGTCCAATAGTGCCTAGATTCAGTTTGCCCAGGTTGGCTTACTCAATTAGAAAAGTTGTCAGATTTTTTAAAATTGTGAAATGATGGGGAAAATTATAGACAAACCAGTTTTATTAAATCTTAATATTTGCCGTATTTACTTAATATTAAAAACAACTACCACCCCCACTGCTACTACCAATGATAATAATAATAACGATAATAAAATCATTACAGATGGAGCTGAAAGTCCGTCTACTCTTCCTGGATCCCACCCCACTCCATTTCCTAGAAATAACACAAATACATTAGAGTTTATTATTCCCATGAAACATTTTATACCACAACTACATATGTATGTTCATACGGTTTTATGTGGCTTCAAATAGTATAAAATGGAATCATCCTATATACATCTCTTGCAATTTGCTTTTTTCAAAACTTAACATTGTTTTTGATATTTATCCATGTTTAGATGTTTAGCTCCAGCTCATTAATTTTAACTGCATAGTAGTCTATTACATCACTGTATCATAAAGAGGGAATATTGATGGGAAATTTAAATTGCCTGCAGTTGTTTTCTATTACAGTATAAAAATACTGCAATGCATATTCCTGCTTATGTCTCCTTGTGCTGATTTGCTAGCATTTCTCCAGACTATAACAAGAATTGGAATTTTTAGTTTGAAGGGGATGCTTATTTTCAAATTAACTAGAAATTTTGGCAGTCTGCTTTATGAAATAAATAAATTAGCACTCCTACCAGCAATGTATGAGACTTCCTCTTGCTGTCTATTTTTACCAATACTTGCTGTGGTCATACTGTTCGATTTTCCCAATTTTAAAAAAAAAAAAAAACCCTTTGCCATGGAGTTGATTCTGACTCATAACAGCCCTATAGGACAGAGTAGAACTGCCTCCATAGGGTTTCCGAGGAGCAGCTGATGGATTCGAACTGCCGGCCGTTTGATTAGTAGCCGAGCTCTTAACCACTGTGCCACCAGGGCCCCCTTCCCAATTTAGTGGTTCTAAAATACTATTTCATCTTAAATGTGTGTTAGTTTCCTACCTCCTCTCCACTGTCCACCACTCCCCGTTACTGATGAGGGTAACCATCTTTTTGTTGGCTTTCTTTTGGTGAATTCCGTCTTCATGTCTTTTACCTATTTTTCAGTTGAGTTGTCTTTTTCCTTATGATTGGCAAGAGTTTGTGTGTTTTTTTTTAAATAAATTCTTGATATAAATCTTTCTTTTTTTTTAAATAAAAGCCATGAAAATATCTTCTCCCATTTTGTAGCTTTCTTCTAACGTTGGTTATAGCATCTTTCATTGCATAGAAGTTTTAAATTTTAGTGAATTCAGGTTTACTAGTATTTTTCTGTAGGATGTATGCTTATTATGTCTTGTTTTAGAAATCCTTTTCCATAATGAGGTCACAGATATATTCTCCTCTGTTTTATTCCCAAAGTTTTAAAATTTTATTTTTCACATTGAGATCTTTCACTGGAATTCGTATTTGTTTATGGTATTTAAAGTAGTTAATTTTATTTTATCCCATATGAATAGTTAATTGCCTCAGTGCTATTTATTAAAGAAGTTCACCCTTTCAATACTGATTTTTAATACCACCTTTGTTTTATATCAGGTTCCTTTATTTTTTTGCTCTCTGTTATGTTCCATTGGCCTATTTGCCTCTTCCTATGCCAATACTGAGGAGCCCTGGTGGCACAATGGGTAAGCAATCAGCTGCTAATTCAAAGGTTGGCAGTTCGAACCCACCTAGCAGCTCTGCAGGAGAAGGACTCGCAATCTGCATTCACAACGATTATCACCAAGAAGCCCTGTGGGGCAGTTCTACTCTGTTACATAGGGTTGCTATGAGTCAGAATCAACTCGATGGCACCCAGCAGCAACATGCCAATACCACATGGTCATAATAATTATTATAATTTTACAGTGACACTTGGTGTGTAGTAGAATGTGGGCTTTTCTTAGCTTTGTCCTCTCATATGCATTTTAGCATCAGCTTGTCAAATGCAGTGAAATACACTATTAGTATTTTATATCAACGTAATATTATCTTATTTCTACCTGTTTTGTGTTTATATATTTTTTCTGTTTTCACATGAAAGTTATTTCTTCATTTATCTCTTTGATTGCGCTATTTATACCCAGTATTAGGTCATCTTTTTCAGACTGTTTAATGAGGTTAATGCCAAATGGGTTGAATTGTCGTTACATTCTGTTGTCTACCTTACTTAAAGTTATGTTTCTTCATAAATTTGTTTTCATTTTGGCTTGCAGGCTCACTTTGAGAAGAAGGTTTTTTGTTTATGAGCACCCCCACCCCTGCATGCACACATGCACACGTACACACACTTATATTCTCAGTCCAGAACCAGGTTTCATGATGGCATTTGTGCTAGATACAGCCTATGAACCATCAGGCAGCTTGGTTTAGTTGCTGATCTTGAACCTGTACAAAAATAACATATGAAAAACTACCAAGCATACAAAGCTACACATGACTACAGGTAGTTAGACATGTCTGGAATGTAGGTATGAAGGGTATAGAGACGCAGAGAAGTGGTAGAAAATGAGAACGGAGACATAAGGCAGGAACTAGATCATAACAGGCTGGTATATAAGCTAAGAGGCTTACATTTTTTTCCTGAAGGTTACAGAGAGCCATTAAGGATTTTAACCATGGGAGGGGCATGATCAGATTTGCATTTTCTAGAAATTATACTTAGGAAGTAGTATACAGGATGAACTTATAAGGGGGTTAAGTTAGGAGGCTATTTAGATTATCTCGGGAAAATGTTATGCATGTTCGAGTTGAAGCTGAAGAAAATTAGAACAAGTTCATAAGAACCGAAGTACAATTCTGAGTATATCCCACCTGAGTTTAGAGACCACCTCAAGAATAGATTTGGCATTTTGCACACTAACGACCAAAGACCAGAGGGTTGTAGAATGACATCAAGGACATCATACATGAAGAAAGCAAGAGGCCATTAAATAAAAAGACAGGAAAGAAAAGACCAAAATGGATGTCAGAAGAAACTCTGAAAGTTGTTCATGAACATAGAGTAGCTAAAGCGAAAGGAAGAAACAACGAAGTAAAAGAGTCGACCAGAAGATTTCAAAGGGCAGCTCGGGAAAGCAAAGTATTATGAAATGTGCAAAGACCTGGAGGTACAAAAACAAAAGGGAAGAACACACTCGGCATTTCTCAGCCTGAAAGAAGTGAAGAAAAAATTCAAGCCTCAAGTTGCAATATTGAAAGATTCTGTGGAGAAAATATTAAACGACACAGGAAGCATCAAAAGAAGATGGAAGGAATATATAGAGTCATTATACCACAAAGAATTGGTTGAAATTCAGCTATTTCAGGAGGTAGCATATGATCAAGAACTGATGGTACCGAAGGAAGAAGTCCAAGCTGCACTGAAGGAATTTGCGAAAAACAGGGCTCCAGGAATTGCTGAAATACCAATTGAGATGTTTCAGGAAACAGCTGCAGTACTGGAAGTGCTCATTCATCTATGCCAAGAAATTTGGAAGACAGCCACCTGGCCAACTGACTGGAAGAGATCCCTATTTGTACCCATTCCAAAGAAAGGTGGTCCAACAGAATGTGGAAATTATCGAAAAATACCATTAATACCACACATAAGTAAAATTTTGCTGAAGATATTCAGAAGTGGTTGCAGCAGTATGTCAACAGGGAACTGCCAGAAATTCTAGCTAGATTCAGAAGAGATCGTGGAACTAGGCATATCATTGCTGTTGTCAGATGGATCATGGCTGAAAGCAGAGAATACCACAGAGATGTTTGCCTGTGTTTTATTGACTATGCAAAGGCATTCGACTGGGTGGATCATAACAAATTATGGATAACATTGCAAAGAATGAGAATTCCAGAACACTTAATTGTGCTCATGAGGAACCTGTACATAGACTAAGAGGCAGTCGTTCGAACAGAACAAGGGTATACTGTGTGGTTTAAAATCAGGAAAGTTATGTGTAGTGTTGTATCCTTTCACTATCCTTATTCAGTCTGTATGCTGAGCAAATAATCTGAGAAGCTGGACTATATGAAGAAGAATGTGGCATCAGGATTGGAGGAAGACTTATTAACAACCTGCAATATGCAGATAACACAATCTTGCATGCTGAAAGTGAAGAGAACTTGAAACACTTACTGATGATCAAAGACTATAGCCTTCAGTATGAATTACACCTCAACATAAAGAAAACGAAAATCATCACAACTGGCTCAATAAGCAACATCATGATAAACAGAGAAAAGATTGATGTTGTCAAGGGTTTTATTTTACTTGGATCCACAATCAATGCCCATGGAAGCAGCAGTCAGGAAATCAGATGACACATTGCATTGGGCAAATGTGCTGCCGAATCCTCTTTAAAGTGTTAAAAAGCAAAGATGTCACTTTAAGGACTAAGGTGAGCCTGACCCAAGCCATGGTGTTTTCAATCACCTCATATGCATTCGAAAGCTGGACAATGAGTAAGGAAGACTGAAAAAGAATTGATGCCTTTGAATTATGGTGTTGGTGAAGAATACTGAATTTACCATGGATTGCCAGAAGAATGAACAAATCTGCCTTGGGAGAAGTACAGCCAGAATGTTCCTTAGAAGCAAGGATGGCAAGACTTTGTCTCACATACATGTTATCAGGAGTGACCAGTCCCTGGAGAAGGACATCATGCTTGGTAAAGAAGAG